CCCTCCAAGCCTGCAGGCAGGGAAGGGCTGAGGGTCCCGCTCACACCCTACGACACCGTTAGACAGAGGGAAGATGGGACAGCGATGGAGCCTCTCCACCACACTGACCTTTGAGCGTCACGACAATGCTGGTCAGGCCCCGGCGGCACAGCGGCAGGGCCACCAGGTCTCCTTTGGGGGGGGCTGATTCTTTAGCCATAGACAGACTCGGTGCTGAGCCCCAGCGTGGAAGCAGGATCCATCTTGGTGATGTAATCCTATGAGGACAGGACAGGGCTATCAGTGCTCCTGAGGGCTGACAGGGAGCAAGCGGTGCTCTGCAGCTCCAGGAGACCCCAGTAAGGACCTGGGCCAAGGAGCATCAGGCATAGTGAAGCAGTGTAAAAGGATGGCTCTCAAAAGAGGGGTCCTCGTGCTCCTACCTTGAAGACCTGACAGACAGCCTCATCCAGCATCTTCCAGTCCACCTTCCCGCTCACCTTGGTCCAGCCCAGGAAAAACTCCTGCTGCTTGAGGTCCTAGGAGCCAGGGCAGAGATGTGCAGGTTGGAGCATGGTATCCAGCTCCAGACAGGTGTCCTCTGCCCCTCGTCCAGGGCCACGGCACTGGACCAGGTCAGGTTCCCCATACAGCCCATACTTACCCCCTTGATGATGTGCTGGGGCGGCATGCGCACCACAATCCGCAGCATCAGCTCGTCCTTCTGAGTGCCAGCGCTGACAGCGTCCATGGGGGACACATCTAGGGATGGAGCAGTGAGGCTGTGCCGGCAGGGAGAACTGAGCCACCGGGCCTGACCATGCCCAGCCTGAGCCAAATCCTGCTGTGGCTGATCATGGCACCATGCACAGCTGCCTCTCCAGGTGAGCAGCAGCACGTTCCCACCACACACATGTCTCTGTCCCAGCCCTTCCCCATCTGCCAGCCGCTCCATCACCCCTACCTGCATCCCCCAGGCTGGGGCTGAAGGCATGGCCAAGGGCGAGACCCAGGGAGCGCCGCGGTGAAGAGGAGGCTGACGTGCTCGTGACGTGGCCAGGAACAGAGCCTGGCACTGCCGAGGGCCCCGGAGCCACTTTGAGCCGGTCGTTCTCGGCCTTCAGGAGATCCACCTCCAGCTAGGGGAGAACCAGTTACAGCACAGGGTGAGGAGCTGGATGCCGGCAGCATCCCAGGGCTGCGGCACGGCTGTGGGGGCGCAGGGACTGTGGCCACCCAGGTGCTCAGAGCCAGCCGGGATTCTGGCAGTGGTCCTCACCTGCATGTTGTGCATGGTCTCCCGCAGCTGCTCCAGCTGGTGGGCTGAGTTGAGGGCCTCCAGGCGGATGTCCGTCAGCTTCATCTCCTTCTCCCACAGCTCTGACCGCAGCTCCGACACCTCCTTCTTCTCCGGCTCACCCTCACCGTGGGCCTGGAAGAGCCTGGGCCAAGGGAGAGACACAGTCTTGCATGCGTCCAGGACAGGGGCCTGCAGCCCCCATGACCGGCCCTCCCCACCCTGGGCCTCCTGCCCTGGCCCCACGTACTCAGCCGTGTCAATGCCCACGGAGGAGGACGTGGAGGATTTGATGGAGGGTGAGGCGGTCTCTGTGGAGCCATGCTGCAGCTTGGGGGAGGAGGGGGCCGACGAGTCCGGCGTGGCTATCTCCTCGATGTCTGAGTAGGATGAGGCTGATTTGGGTCCCTTCTTGATGCTGAAGGCCTTGTTGAAGGAGCTGCGTAGCTATGAGAATGAAAATGCTCTTGTTAGGGACAGCCCGACAGCACAGCCTTCCAAGCAGAGACCTGGCCCGGTCCTGCCCTGGGGCCCCTGTCTGCCCAGGACCCACAGTCTGAGCTGGGACCAGTAACACCATATCCATCACCGAGACAGCACTGTGCCCTACCACCACCGGCCTGATAGGGAAGGCACCGGCCTGATCCTGCTCTGCTAGCACAGCTGACAGATGGGGGTGCACGGCCCTTTGTGCAACACTCCAGCCCCAGCCTGGATGGCACCAAACAGCACCACAGAGTGGATCAGGCTTCCCCCAGCCCTGCTCCCCACCAGCACCCACATCAGGGTGTTCAGGCACTGCACCAGCACCCTGGACCATCGGGAAGGGCCAACTCCATCCTCACATTCACCCCACCACAGCCAACCCAGCAAGCGGTATTTAGGGGGACATCCCCCCTCCAGCCACTGCAGAGCCGGGGTCCTGGTGCAAGGGGACAATTTCAGGCCCACACCCCGCCTCTGCCCTGTGGGGTTCTTCTGGAAGCACAGAGGGCCAACCAGCGAGATGTCACCAGGGGTCCCAGCCCGGCATGCAGCATGCACACAGCACACACAGAGCAGTGGGCGGGCGAGCGGCGTGCCAAGGCCAGGGAGGGCGGATGGACACTGCGCAGGGGCCAAACCGGGCCTGGGCCCTGCTTACGCACCACCAGCCTGCGGGAGAGCAGCAGGACGGGCACCCCGGGCTCACACTGTGTCCCCTGGAGGGCCAAGGCCTGCTCCGAAAGGAGGTGGGAGGAAGAGGGATGGAAAACAGGCAAGATCTGGCCCAGTTCCCACAGGCACCAGGCAGGCTGGCCTGGTGTGTCCCCAAAAGTAAAAGCATTGCATTTCAGCGTAAAAAACCAGGTAGGTGTCAGGCTCTGCTGATGGTGGGAGAGCAGGGGAGCACTGGGACCCACGTGGGTCCCGACAGGGACAGAGCCACTTGGGGCCATATCAGGCCAGCCCTGGCAATGCGGAGACAGGCAGCACCACACCCCAGTGCCACAGGCAGGGCTGCAGTGAGATCCCTGTCCCAAAAGATCTGGCTACAGGGAGTCAGGAGAGTGCCTGCCTTCCCCAGGCAAAAAGGCGACTGTCCCCATCCATGGGACAGGTCCCCATCCGAGCCCTTCCTGCTGTCTCAGGGCCACCTCAGCCCCTCTGTGTGGGTGCATATTTTGGCCTTAACATCAAAGGAAGCAGCCAAGGTATACACAGCCCGGCTGGGGGCCCCGGGATGGCCCGTGCTGGGGGTTAGCGCCAGTGGGATGGATGGGATGGGTAGTGTTATGAGCACCATCCCACAAAATGGAGCCAGGGCACGGCATGGTGTGGGCACGGCACGGCATGGAGGGGACGGCATAGGACTTACCTCGTACACCTGGAAAAAAAGGGTTGAGGTCAGCATAGGGGGAGAGAAACAAAACAAAGCAAGACTTAATCACGTGTCCAGCTCGGAGTTGCTTGGTGCAGGGAAGGGGCTGCCTGGCCAAGGTGTCCAGCTCCCCGCATGGGCAGAAAGGAGACATGGGGAAGACCATGAGGGAGCAGATGTGCAGGACCAGGGCTGAAAAACTCCCAGAGGGACTGGAGAAGTCCCAACTGGCACGTCAAGACACAAATCCATGATGGCTACATGCTCCTCGCCAGTGCTGTCCCCAGGGGACACAGGGGACCAACACCACGATGCCAAGGTAGACCGACAGCAGGGCTCGTGGGGCTGACCTCGGCCAGACCCTGCCAGCAGCTCCCCAAGCCCCGCTCCTCCTCCCAGCACCCCATCCAACCCACCCAGCTCTTTTTCTTCTTCTTCTTGGCATCAGCGTCCTTGCTGCTGCCAATGCTGGAGTGGCTGGTGATGCTGTTAAGGCTGGAGATACTGTCAGAGGAGTTCTGCCGCTTGATGCGCAGCTCTGGGGCCAGCGAGAGAAGCAGAAGAGACCAGGAAAAGAGGAATCAGCAAATTGCGTCTGCCCCAACGCCAGAGCCACCTGCACTCTCCTCCCTGCACCCCTTCTCTTCTCCCACCCAAACATCTTCTGAGCTCGGAGCCACCTCGTAAGATGACATGGGGCTCAGACACCACACGGGCGCTGCCATTTGGGACAGTGACCCCAAACCCCAGGGAGATGCCCAGAGCACACATCGTTCTGCTCCTGTCCCAGGCCACATCCCTGCCAGTGCCTTGTACTCACTTTGGGGTTTCGGGGCTAGAAACAGCACTCATGGGAACAAAGCCAAGATCAGCAGCCAAAACTGGGCTGTCGGCAAAGGGCCTGGTGAAGAGGCGTCCCGGGGAGAATGACCATCCCGTCACCCGCCAG